GTGCCTCGATGCCGCCGTCGCCGCCGCCGGTGCTGCACGCCCTGCCGCCGCAGTCGCCGACGCCGCTGCGACCCTTTGTCGACGTCGCCACTTCGGTCGCCGAGGGGTCGTCCGGCTTGTCAACGCCACTGCTGCTGCAGGGAATGGGGGTGCAAGGATGTGGGGGTGCTGGGGGTGGGATGGGCTTGCCACTACCAAGCCTAGGGGGTGTGTTAAATTATATATTTTTATATGTAATTGTAGGCTTGGTTATGCTACTTACTGAATCCTACTGTAGAAGGGACTATACCCCTTCTTGTATCTCCTTCTCTTCTAGTCCAATCTCCCTTCTCTCTCAACACTTTGCCTAGCCTAAAACCCCACGCCACTTTAATGGCTCCTCCTACTCCTAGCTATCATTCTTTCTAGTCTTAACAACATGTGTACCGGCTCTACACACCCCTCACACCCCTCACACCCCATAGATTTTGGCTAAGTCCCCCACACAGAAGACATTCCTCCCCACACCCCTCCCACCCCAAAAATTTCAGCTACGGTAAGTTCCCCACACCAGAGACATTCCTCCCCACACCCCTCGCACCCCAAAAATTTCGGCTAAGTTCCCCACACCAGAAACATTCCTTCCCACACCCCTCGCACCCCAAAAGTTTTGGCTAAGTTCCCCACACCATAGACATTCCTCCCCACACCCCTCGCTGTTAGAAGGCTAACTTAGCTAGGAAGGAAGGAGGCCATGAAATGGCGAGAGGTTTAGGAGCTACGAGAGGAGGTTGACGCGAGAAAAGAGGGTTGGAATAGAAGAGAGAGAGGCATACAAGGAGGGAGTTTTACCCTCTACAGTGGAGTTCAGTAACACCTACCAAGCCTACAATTATATAACAAATATAATTTAATACACCCCCTAGGCTTGGTAGTGGCAAGCCCACACACACCCACACCCCCTAACCTAGCACCCCCATACTTCAGCACGGTCAACCCCACGGCGCGTGAGGCGGGGCGATGTCGACAACGAGGACAGCGGTTGCAACGGCGGCGACGGCGGCAGCGTCGACATCGGCAGCGCCGGCGGCGTGCGGCAGCGTGGCCAGCGGCGCCAGCTGCGGCGGCGGCGGCTTCGACGAGAGCTGCCGGCGGCGGCGGAGCTCGCAGCACTCGGCGGCGTGGCCGGGCTCCGCGACGGTGGGACGGCCGGTGCGCTGTGGAGCTGAATTCATTCTTCGGATGGGGATGCTAGCAACTACACTCTACGGTTTCGATATATTGCTGGGACGGGATTGGCTGCGACACGTTAACCCAAAATCTGACTGGACGACCGTCAGCTGTTCCATCAGAATTCAACGGCCGTAGTGTGGCGTTACCAGAACGGACGAAGGGGATCACATGCGGAGTGGCGTAGGTGAACTCAGTGGCGATCAAATGAGCGGTTGCATGTGGCGCAAAAGTCTTCGGTGTAGTCGTTCGCGCCGTCGACGTAGCATTGCATCCGTCCGATTTAGAGAAGCTGACAACAGCAGTGTCGACCGATCTAGTGTAGATGATTCGCAGGTTTCCGGAGATATTTCCAGACGACCTGCTCGAGGGGGAACGACCCTTTGACCATCGAATAGAATAAGAATCTGGGACACAACCCACAGTGCAACGGCAGTTTCATCAGACACAGCCGGAGTCAGAGGAATTACAGAAGTAGCTAGACTATTTACTGGAGAAAATAAATCATCCGCTCGAGCTTCTCACTATTTGCCACCCCCATACTGTTCACCCCGAAGAAGGACAACGACTATCGAATGTGCACTGACTATTGAGCACTGAACAAGGTGACTATCAAGTCGCGTTACCCTATCCTGCGCGCCGACGAACTGATCAACTAACTTCGCAAAGCTCGCTTCTTCCTGAAAATATATTTACAAGGGGATTACCTCCAGATTCACGTAGTCGCAGCTGACTATCACAAGACCACGTTTCGTACTAGGTAGGGGAGTTTCGAGTACATAGTTGTGCCCTTCGGACTGACGAACGCCCTGGCGACATTTCAAATGACCATAAACTAGAACTTCAGTTCGCTGGTAGATAAGTGTTTTATTGTCTACCTGGATGACATACTGATCTACTGCGAGACTTGGAAGCAGCACTTAAAGGTCCTCGGAGCTGTTTTCACGCTACTGCAGAAGCATCGGCTGCTCACGAAGGGGTCTAAGTGCGGGTTTTTAAAAGACCGCTTGGAATTTTTTGGACACGTTACAATATTTCCACTAAGGGCGCCAAAGTGGACCCGCGCAAAATCGAGACAGTGCAAACCTGGCTACCGCCTATGAACCTGTAGGAGCTGTAAAGATTTTTAGGGTTCGTCAATTATGTTTGGCGATTTATCCTAAATTTGGCTGGGATAACTGCACAATTAACTAGCATGCTGCGGAAAGGGACCAAACATAGGTGGGGGGAGAAAGAGCAAGTTGTTTTTTCCGCGCTCAAAACTTTTCTCGTCTGACATGCAAGGGGGGGTGCAGCGGCATGTGGTTTTGTGTAGAACAAGCCAACCCATGAAATCATCAAAGCAGAAGCCAGCTGGACAGTTGCAGCCGATTCCGCCGGCTAAGCGTGCGTGGCAGCAGGTGACGATGGACTTTGTCATAGGACTATCTGCCAAGGACGGCTATAATGACGCGATATTTGTCGTTGTTGATAAGCTGACGAAGATGACCCACTTTGCCGCCTAGAAGAAAAGCCTCTCAGCCGAAGAAGCACCTTGCCTTTTCATCTCGACCGTCGTTCGCCTCCACGGAATTCCATCCGCCATCATATCGGATCGTGACACAAAATTCACCAGCAACTTCTGGCGCACCCTCTGGGAATAGTTTGGCAAGCGCTGCAATTCTCCTCCGCCTATCACCCCGAGATTACCGGACAGACCGAACGGGCCGATCAGACGATGGAGCAGCTGATTCGCGCCACCTGTGATGACGTGTTCGACGGGGAAAAGCAACTGCCACTGATTGAATCAACGTATAATAATGCCCCGCCAGCCACTACCCGACAATCATCATTCTACCTGAATTACGGACAGAAACCTACAATACCGATCACGCCCAACATAAAAAATCATGTACCTCGTGCCCAACAGTTCGCAAAAATATTACAAAATGGCCGAGAGCGAGCAGCCAAGGCCATTAAGCATGCGAATGTTATTTCCAAGCGCAACGCTGACCTACATCGACGAGCTATGACTTACCTGGCTGGAGACTTGGTATTGCTCGATACTCAAAAACTTCGACTGCCCATCGTCCCAAAACTTCGCCCACGCTAATTCGGACCGCTTAGAATCAGCCACATGATATCCTCCGTTACAGCCCACCTACTGCCGCCGGCCATCTGGAACGTAAGCTCATCGTTTCACGTGCGATTATTACGACCATACATCGCCAGCACAAGTAAACTATCGCGCCACCAAAACAACCGAAACATCCGAATGCTCGCCGAACCTACAGTCGAACCTGTGAAGATTCTCAGCCATCGGATAAAGGACCCAGGAGGGGCTAGCCTGCTCGAATTTCTGATGTCATGGAAGGACCAGACGGCCTTGGAAAACAGTTGAGTGCCTCTAGCACAAATCAAGAATCACCCCGTGTTACGCGTCTACCTCCAGTCACGCAATGTGCGTGACATCGGGGGTCTTAGCTAATACCATACCTTAGAGGGGGGAGGGTGTAAGGAAATGGTATTTCCTTATCACAAGTTTTAGTTAGTAAGGCGTACATTGCTATAACTGGGTTGCCATGCAACTCTGCCAAGAAATTCCAGCCGCGGTACCCAAATGTGGCCTCCTGACGAGCCGCATGCAGTTCGCCCGCCTTGTTGTTTCATGCCTAGATCTGGGCGCTTTGCACTAATTTACGAACCACACGTCGCAGCTCCGCCGAGCCGCGACCGTGTGCTTTAGGCTAGCTATATCCTTGATCCCTGCTGTTTTGATGTTGCCTCAGTTGTATTTTTCCCTCGTTACTCAATCCTTCGACACACGCTCTTTGCGCTTAAGTACAAAACCCTACGAAATGCTTCATGAAAAAACCTATGATTTTTTTATTCTGAAGTGTAACACCTGGATTGTAACAATTCCGTTTCCGAACAGCATTGATTGTCTCTTTCCGTTTCACGTGCTGTCTACAATTTCCTGATTTGAGGAGAACTCTGGCCAACAGCAATGCAGAATTGTTGCAGCGCGCCTCGAGTGCAGCCCAGCTCCCATTGTTCAAATCTGGTTCTATCCGCAACAAAGTGCGTGATATGATGCTCCCCACACTGATGCTGTGCTCCATCATCAGGGAGGGAAACCATCTTTATACTCCTTCGATATATGGATGCATGTGAAATATACACACACCGGGTTTGCAGAAGTATATGAAACCTCTTTCGGCAGTTCATCTCGACGAAGTTTTAATTCCAGGACGTGAAGCAAAATCAATAATATGTACTCACAAGCAAATTTGTGTGGGGCACTTAGCGAAGAAGCATCAGTGCGTGGAAGCATCCTGCAGACAGCTAGCTGTTTGGATACAACAAACTTGAAGTGAGGTGTGGACAGACAGCGAATGACAACGCCCATGTCCAGTCCAGACCACCACACTCGCCTCGCCATCGAATCAGATGCCTGCGGAAAACCACGGCAATCGGACGGTCACTGTGGACTTACAGACGCAAGGGAGAGGAGGAAAATGCCAAAAGAAAAACCGGATTCCCCGAGTTTGTGTGGAGGAGATTGCCCCATGCCAGCAGTGCCATCTGCCACCAGGGAAAATCCCCCCCGCCCCACCCCCCCCATAATTCACCCCCCCTTCCACCCCAGCCCACCCCATTTGACCCCTGTCTCTTCCATTTCTTGCCATCTCCATCTCCTCCACCCCACCTCCTCGCCTTGCTCGCCTGGCCTCACCTCAATCCACCACCACCACCAGCCACACCTCCAGCAGAGCAGAAGAGTCTCAGCAGTCTGCTTTGAAGCTTTCGGGCCTCGCTTCCTGAACTCTGACTAGCCGCCCCAGCAGCGGCGGGTTGTGATGAAGCTTTTGGTTCCCGCTTCCTCTGCATCCTTCTCAATGCACCGCGTGGCCAATGTGGTTTAGCTGTGGTTGCCCTGCTGCATATGTACAATTTCCTGCATGCATACAATGTCTGCATAGATTCAGATATATTCACTTAGACGCCTTGACTTATCGGTTTTCATCTATTCACGTACGAGAAACAGCGTAATGTCCCCCCGTGATTTTTCTATCCAAGGACCAGAGGATCTTATTACTACCATTCAGGCATCAGAGACTATATTTGTCCCTGCGTACACGTATTCGACCACGAGGCGCGCTTCAGGAAATTCAGAGTTAGTTTTTCAAGGGATGGGAGCCAATCGCTGCCGCTGCGGTATTGGGAATCAGGCGACATTGGGAGTCGAACCCGCGTCGACGGGAGCTCCCGCGGCGATGGCCGGCGACGCCATGCGACGAGTCGTCGAATGGCGGGAAAAGCACGTCGCAGCAGTCGCACGTGACGTCGCTGACGATCCGGCGAGGCTACCGGCGAGGCCTGCAGGGGCTTCGCAGTGGGAATCGGAGGGTCGTGCGCCTAGGGACGTGTGCGACACAGACTGGCGACTATCTGACGGATATCATCCGTCGCACAGATTCGCCGAGATCTCCGCGAAAGGTGGGCCTTCTAGGTTAACTCTCTCCCTCTCGGTTGCCTGAATATATCATCTTAAAACCTATCATTCCATGATGGAAATTAAGAACGAACCTTTTTCTTCCCATCTCTGAGACCGAATAGCTTGCACTGTGTGGCTTTTTAGAAACTTCTAGAAACTCTGCTAAAGCTTTTCCTCTCTGTCTCCCATTTTCTGGTCGCACAGAGGCCCGCGAAGCCGTGAGCGAAGAGCAGCTCGCTGGAATGCGACGAAGCATCCACGAATCAGCGTACGACATGTGGATTGCAGAGGACCTCCTAATGAGCACGCTTAAAGAGGCCCTGGCGCGGCAAACGACCCGTTATAAGCAGTCCCGAGACTGTCTCAGCCCACGCATCACGAGAAGGTTGAGGGATACAGGACGGTGTAGCAGCAGCAGCGGCAGCAGCCTTAGCAGCCCCAATCACAGCAGGAATAGCAGCAACTGTTGTGGGGCATGTCAGTGCAGCAGCAGCGACAACGTTGGCAGCAGCAATGGCTGCAGCAGCAACTGCAGCAACAGCAGCAGCAGCAGCACGACTAGTTGCAGTGGTGGAGAGGCAAGTGACAGGTGCAAGAGACAGAGGGGAGGGGGGATGATGGGCTGGTTGAGTAGGAGCCTGGTGTGTGTGTCCCGGCATGGCATCCATGTGAAATAGTGTAATAGGAATTTTGTAATAATGTGCTTGTGTACAAATGATGTCACAATAGAAAAGAAACAGGTGTCTCATCTTGTCACTTCTCTTCCAGGCAAGAGTGTCACTCGTTATTAGAGGTACTGGAACTACGACGTGAAGGAAGTGAGTGATATCTATGAACTAGGAATTTGCATTATTCCAAAGTCACCACAACGGATTGCTGCCTATAGTGTGCACACAGCACACCAACACCCTACGCTCCTACTCCTGCCCTCCTAGGAAACCCTGGACACATTTAAGATCTGCTAAGCTTACCCCTTAGCCTCAGTTTGTTCCTGGCCGTTGTGCACGAACAAACAATTAGTATGTTTATTGTATCAGTATGGGGTGTAGTCTTCAGGAAGGGGGATCTGGCTTACCTTGCGCTTCCCCACATCGCCTCCTGCTGCTTCATGGCTCCCTGCCCTTCTGCCTCATTCTGACTTGATATTTCCTTGTCACTGAGGGTAGACAGCGAGGAGGGAGAGTGAGGAAGCGGATGCGTGAGGATGCTGCAGCAGCAACGCGTACGGCTGGTTGAACTCGGGTGAATTTCGGGTGCCCTTGGAGGCCAACCTCCAGCTCCCATCTAACTCTGTTTATGTCCGTCCCTGGAGCTGAACTCACCCCTCCCTTTCCCCCATCCTCCTCTCCCCCCCACCCCCCGCCCCCGATTCCTGCAATCACGCCACTTCACGGAACCCCATACCGCATTACCGCTTCACAGTTACTTGTTTCCCCCACCTTGCGCTCTGCAGTCGCCACCAGTCTCCCCTTTCCTTCCCCATTTTCCCCTGCGAATCCCCCACCTCGGGAATCTCCCACTCTGCGAATCCCCCACATCCGTCACCCCCACTCCCAGCCTGACTCCCTCCATCTGTCTCCTGCCCTCAAACCACGTGTCCGCATTGCAACCGCGCGATGCCCCCCGACCCCTCCACACAGGAACACCTTCTAAAGTCGTCCGCGCTCCCGATATTAGCAAACCCTTCAGCGAAGTACCCGCCCGCGTACGGGCACAGATTCGTCCGCTTCAGCGCTTTGCAGGTTCCGGGGAAGGGGTGCTCCGCCTGCCGTTTCGCGGCCTTGTGCGCAACGCACGCCATGGGCAGCATCCCCGATATAGGCAGCATGTCCGGGCACTGCATCGCGTTATTGTGCCCGAACGAGCACTCGGCGCGCTTCAAAACGTATGAGTCCGCCCGGTTCTGCCCCACCATGGATGGCTTCTTCATAAGCATCTTCAAATGGCACTGTACCGAGCCGCTTAAACCGGGAACGGGGATGTCAATAGAGAAGCCGCGGCAGTCGGGGATCTCGAGGCAGCGTCGCCCGCACGCCTCGGGAGTCGCGGCGGGTCCCACGGTATCGATGGTTGGAGAGTGGTAGAGAGTGTTTGGGGAGTGGAGGAACGCTGACGTGGCGTCTGTTGGAAGTTCATGATGGAAGAAAATAACAGGAAGCCCATTAGTTAGTGACGGGCAAAAAAGGGGAAAATTGAAAAACGTCGACAAAGAAAAAATCGCGGATTTGTCACTGGAGCGAGGGGAGGGGGCGGTAGTAGGACAGTAAGGGGGAGAAAAGGTACTAATTCCCACGTACGGTAAACAGCAGCAGTGGCGTCAAGTCGAATTCCTAGAATGACTCACTTTGCTTGTGCACGCGCACGTTGTCGATAACGGGGCCGTGAATACCGGGAGTCGTCGACGCGAACAGCAGAGTGACAGCAGCGCCAGGTGCTTCAAACGCGAGCGTGTGTGACCGCCACCCCATCCCCTCACGACTGCCTTTCGCCTCCTCGGCCCCACCATGCGAAAACGTGTCGAATTCGTATGTTCGCGAGGTAACCGGCGCGCCGCTCTCCTCGTCCATCACGCTTACGCGCAGCGTTCGCACGGCGCCCTCGTCTTCCAACCCGGGGTCGCCGGCGAGATCGAAATGCACGAAGTAGAATTCGCCCGGTCGGGTTACCACACGCTGCGCGAGGCTCGCCGGCCCGTGCCCGTTGAGTGCGATGCTATGGTCGCCGGAAGCTGCGGGCCAGTGCTCGAGCCGCACGTACTTAATCGACCCGGAGACTAGGTGCCATCCAGCTGGCAGGCGTTTCTTGTGGCGTCGCGTGAGCGGGCCTGCGACGCTGGCGTCGCCGCGAACGCCGGGCTCTTCCATGTCGCCATTGAGGATGAGGTTCGTCGGAGGGTCGCTGTGCGACAAGGCTGCGACTAGCGACACTGCACGGAGGAATCGGGTTGTGGAAGGGTGGTGTAGATATCAGAAGCGTGACGACGAGGTGAGAACGAAAGGGACAAGCAAGAACGGAAACCTGATAAACGGGAACGGGAACGGGAACGGGAACGGGATTCTGTGATCGTTCGGAGGCAGGGGTAAGTATGAAACCCGATAATCGGATACCAAGTAGGAGGCACTTACCAAGGAGCAAAAGCGTGAGAGCTTACCAAGCAGCAGGAGTGTGAATGGCAGCGACCAGCTTATCCGCCAGAGCATCTTCGTCATCTGCGGGAACTCGACGACGTTATTTTTCTTTAAGGCTAGAAAAGAGCCGCGAGACACGCAGCTCGTCGCTCCAAGAACGCCTCAATGCGTGACGATGCGTGGGTGCTGCCTGGTGTTTGAGTATGGAAGATAGACGCAAGCAGTCCGTGAAGAGCGGAAGCAAGTGAGGCCTATAAGCAGGTTGTGAGGAGGGAGGCAATAGTTTAAAATGACGGGACGACCGTAAAACGCGGCGGAAAACGCTGTGACAGGACACGAGGGATAATAGCGTGGCAGGCGCGGTTGGCTAAAGGAGCAGAAAAGCTAGCGTGGGGAATTTGGGCAAGGCGAAGGTGTGTGAGGGGGTGGTGGTGAAAATGAGAGGAAATTCGGAGCCAAAATGTTCAGCTGGAAGCGCACACCGACAGAAATTCCTTTTCTGCTTTGAGCTGGTGTTTCGCAAGGATCCGGCGACAGTTTCGGCACGACTGACAGGCCCAAGCCTGCAGCTGGAATTCCTTCATTCACGGTCGCAGCATCGCAGGATGGATCGCTCACCTTTTCGAAAGCTGCACGGGTAGCCACGGAATGGAGTGAACCGAAACGGGAGGCAAGGCAGTGCGGCTGGATGCGTGCCAAGCTGAAACGGGATTAATTGAGCGAATTTGCGAAGAAAATGAACAATCTAACGACTCGTGAGCCCTAAATCCCATGCTGGCAGCAAGGGGTCTGGCGAGGGGGGCAATGCCATGTTACTGTTGCAAACAACCACAGTGTCAATTGCGACAGCGCGACGACTGCAAAAGTGGCGCGAAATCGCGTTTCCCGAATTTGGCGAACAGCTGTTTGAAACTTAGATTGTCAAGAGTTGCCACGGTAGAAAATGGAAAATGCAATGTCCAGCCCTCGTCGTCAACATGCGATGCGATCATTGACACACACAGAAAATTGTGTCGCACACGCATCGCCCCGGCTGCCCGCGACGAAGCCATCCGCCAAACGTTCGAGGGGGGCTCTTGTAGAAACAGCCGCGAAGCACTCGCGGACAGTCACCTTCGGGAGAGTAGCCGTTTCCCGCGTCGGCGTCGCCGAGTTGTCGCTGCACGTTGAACAGTCGTTCGGCGACTGTTACCCTGACAGATTGTTCGTCGCCAACAGAGACAGCCAGCGACCCGTCGCGCGGCTCCTCCCCATCAGCCACGTCTCTTGGCTCTGCAAGCCAGCACACCCTCCGTCGCTCCGTCCGTCCGTGGAACTCCAGGGAAGCACCTCCCCAGTCAAGTGCGACAGGTGTGCCGTGCCCCGCCCCACTGCTGTAAAAGTACTTTTGGTTGGGTGGGTGCCGTGTATTACGTGTATGCAAAGTGACGTCATGCGAACGTCATGAAACGGTACAATGCGTTTCCGGACAATTGAGAAAGATCTTGTCAGACTGGATGCGGTATAAATGAGCTACCAATCATAATACACTGTCTATTCTTTCTACATTTAGCCCGCAATTCCACCTTCATATCCAATGAAGTATGAAACTTATATGATGCACAAGAAGCGAGAAAGATTACACAATTGGTAACATCAAACCAGCACAGCACCAGGATATAGCTAGGCACGAAGCAAACAAGCAGGTTCGGCATGTCAAACATGTGTATTTGTCATGTTTGTATAGACTGTATAGAGTCACCTCTTAGAGGATACAAAACTTAGATATATTTGTGTGTACTCTCACTTTACCATTATTCAATTATCCTGATATGGTATCACGCGTAGGTAGGATCCCCCCCCCCCCCCACCTACCGCTTCCGCTCATGCCCCCTAGCGCCCCTCCTGGGCCCCGTCGCGCTCCTCCCAGGCCCCGTCGCGCTCCTCCCAGGCCCCCTAGCGCCCCTCCTGGGCCCCATCGCGCTCCTCCCAGGCCCCGTAGCGCCCCTCCTGGGCTTCGTAGCGCCCCTGCCAGGCCCCGTCGCGCCCCTTCTGGGCTTCGTAGCGCCCCTGTCAGGCCCCGTCGCGCCCCTCCCAGTCCCCGTCGCGCTCCTCCCAGGCCCACTAGCGCCCCTCCTGGGCCCCGTCGCGCTACTCCCAGGTCCCGTAGCGCCCCGTCGCGCCCCTCCTGGGCCCCGTAGCGCCCCTCCTGGGCCTCGTCGCGCCCCTCCTGGGCTTCGTAGCCCCCCTCCTGGGCCCTGTACCGCCCTCCCAGGCCCCGTCGCGCCCCTCCCAGGCCCCGTCGCGCCCCTCCCAGTCCCTCTAGCGCCCCTCCTGGGCCCCGTCGCGCTCCTCCCAGGCCCCGTAGCGCCCCGTCGCGCCCCTCCTGGGCCCCGTAGCGCCCCTCCTGGGCCTCGTCGCGCCCCCTCCTGGGCTTCGTAGCGCCCCTCCTGGGCCCTGTAACGCCCTCCCAGGCCCCGTCGCGCCCCTCCCAGGCCCCGTCGCGCTCCTCCCAGGCCCCCTAGCACCCCTCCTGGGCCCCGTCGCGCTCCTCCCAGGCCTCGTAGCGCCCCTCCTGGGCTCCGTAGCGCCCCTCCTGGGCCCCGTCGCGCCCCTCCTGGGCCCCGTAGCGCCCCTCCTGGGCCCCGTCGCGCCCTCCTTGGGCCCTGTAGCGCCCCTCCTGGGCCCCGTCGCGCCCCTCCCAGGCCCCGTCGCGCCCCTCCCAGGCCCCGTAGCGCCCCTCCTGGGCCTCGTCGCGCCCCTCCTGGGCTTCGTAGCGCCTCTCCTGGGCCCCCCGTCGTGCCCCTTCTGGGCCCCGTAGCGCCCCTCCTCGGCCGCGTCGTACCCGTCGCCGCCGCCCGGCCCCGTCGTGCCCGCCCGGCGCCGTCGCGCCCGCCCGACCCCGTCGCCGCCGCCCGGCCCCGTCGCGCCCGCCCGGCGCCGTCGCACCCTGCCCGGCCCGTCGCGCTCGCCCGGCCCCGTCGCAGCCGCCCGGCCCTGTCGCACCCGCCCGGCCCCGTCGCACCCTGCCCGGCCCCGTCACAGCCGCCCGGCCCCGTCGCACCAGCCCGGCCGCCGTCCGGCTCGCCCGGCCCCGTCGCACCGGCCCGGCCCTGCCGCACTCGCCCGGCCCCGTCGCCCCAGCCCGGCCCCGTCGCGCCCGCTCGGCGCCGTCGCCCCGTCCCGGCCCTGTCGCATCAGCCCGGCCCCGTCGCGCCCGCCTGGCCCCGTCGGGCCAGCCCCGGCCCCGTCCTCCTCACTGGTACGGTCCCCCCCCCCCCCCCCCCCCCACCCCGCCCTGCTCCGTGCCGCCCTGCACCGCACTGCACCGCACTGTACCGCACTGCACCGCACTGCACCGCACTGCACCGCACTGTACCGCACAGTACCGCACTGCACCGCACTGTATCGCACTGCACCGCACCCCACCTAGCTGCACCGCCCTGCACAGCACTGGACTGTTCCTGATGGCGGCGGAGCTTCGCTTCGACGCTGAAGGTCAGCCCCTAGAGTTCGAGGCGTGGCTTGCCGACCTCCGCCGCCAACTCACTGGCCAGCGGCAAGATGGTGAACCGCTTTCCGCACACCTTGACGGTACGCTCCCCTGCCCAGACCCTCCTGCTATTCTGCCCGCTGACCCCACACCCACTGAGCGTGAGTCTACTGCTGCCACTGCCCGTGCGCGCTCAGTCTGGCTTTCTCGCGATGCTGTCGCCCAGCTTGCCATTAGCAACGCCCTCCCCCCGTCCGAGCGTCCTCGCTTTAGGTCCCTCACTACTGCTCAGGCATACTTAGATGCTGTCATCAAGCGCTACTCCACCCCTCCGGCTGCCTCGGTGGGTCGCCTGATCCTCCCGCTGCTCTTTCCTGACCTTGCTTCGTTCCCCACTGTCTCTGACCTCGCTGCCCACCTGCGCTCGATAGAGGAGACCTGGCGCGCCGCATGCACTGACGCACAGCTTAGAGCCCACCAGCCGCCCATTACCTCTACCCTCTACCTGCTTGCCACCCGCCTCCCTGACCGCCTTGCTGTCGCCCGCGACCGCTTCCTTAGTGTTCACCCCGCAGACCTCACCCTCACTGACTTTGTCGACACCCTGACTGTGATAGAGACCCGTCACCGCTCCATCGCCCAGGCGAGCGGTGTCGTGCCGGTCCCTATCTTTCAGGGTTGTGCCCCCGCTCAGTGTACCTTCTCCGACGGCTCTGCCGCAGTGGCTGAGACTGCTGCTGCAGCGCAGGCCCGTTCTGGGAAGGGCCGCCGCCCCAAGGCTGGGCGCGGCGGAGGGGGCGGCGGGGGTGCGGGCGGGGGTAGTGGTGGGGTCGGGTCGCCTGGTGCTGGAGCGGACGAGGGGACCCTGCCCAGTCCAGCTGAGTCGCCGCTCCTGCAGTTGCAGCAGCCGCAGCAGCCGCCGCAGTCGCAGCCTTCGCAGCAGCCGCAGCAGCCGTCGCAGACGCGGCAGACGAGTGTTCTCCCGCCAGGGTGGCCCGGCGCTGGCGGTGGACGGGCGCGTGGTGGTGTGCCGCGTGGTGGCTCTGCCGGCGGGCGTTGTCAGTACCAGATCCAGACCGGTCCTTGCCGCGGTTTCGTTTGCGGTAAGATCGGTCACTCCACTCCCCGCTGCTTTCGTCGCCTGGACGACCTCTTTCGTCAGCGTTTCGGCCCGTCGCCAGACCTTCCGGACTGGCACAGTTTGCTTAGTCGTCAGATTCAGATCTTTGATATGGACATGGATGCCATTGTTTCTGCTCTGCATGTGATGTATGCTGATGACTCTAGTGTGCTTCCGACTTATTACTCACTGTTGCCTAGTGTAGGTGTGCCTAGCTTAGCCTCCCCTGCTGCGTCAGGCGTAGGATCCCCTGCTTTGTGTAGTCTTGGTGCTTCTGCCGTCGTTCCGTCGCCAGACCCCTCGGCTTCGCTTTCCTTCACCTTGGACTCTGGCGCCTCTCGGTGTTTCTTCCGCGACTCCACCACCCTGACGCCGCTTCCTGTTCCTGCTGCCGTTTCTCTTGCTGACCCCTCCGGCGGCCCGGTAGTCGCCCGCAGTTCCACCACCCTTCCCTGTCCGGCGGTTCCTTCGGGCTCTCTTACAGGTCTGCATATCCCCTCGTTCTCCAGGAACCTAGTTGGTGTCGGCTGCCTCCAGGACCTTGGCGTCACCACTACGTTCCCTGGTCACGAGCGGTATGCTGTCTGTACCGAGGCCGCCACTGGTGCCCCCCTGTCCACGTTCCCCCGGGACCCGGTGTCCGGCCTGTTCACTCTGGACACCGTGCCCCCCCCGGCTGGAGCGCCCCCTCAGGTGGCTGTGTCTACCCAGGTTGCTGCTGCCTGCTCCTGTCGCTCCCTCACTCACCCGACCCTCCTGTGGCACCACCGCCTAGGTCACCCTGCGCTCCCGCGTCTGCGTCACATGTCCCAGCACGGTCTTGTCCTTGGTCTCCCAGGTTCACTCCCCGCGTTTCCCTCCTCCCCAGCTCCACCTTGCACGCCCTGTGTCGAGGGTCGGCTTCGCCGTGCCCCTCACTCCTCCTCGTTCCCCCCTACCGCCGCGCCGGTGCAGACCCTGCACCTGGACGTCTGGGGCCCCGCCCCCGTCCCTGGGCCGCGTCGCGAGCGCTACTTCCTTGTGCTTGTCGACGACTTCACTCGTTACACCACAGTCTTTCCCCTGGAGCGCAAGGCCGACGTGCCTGGCGCCCTCATCCCCTGGCTTGTCTCTGCGCGTGTCCACCGCGGTCTC